ATTGATTATGTACAACAGAACAGTGTTTCTCGCTTGACCATGATCCTTTTTGCTGTGTCTCTACCAGTACACGCTGCTTTGCCTCACTTGAAGGAATGATGTTAAGGCATTGCAGGTAGAGGATACAGAAGTAACACTACCAGACTGTCTGGTAGGATGTCATGATGGGGCAGTGATTTTATTTAGAAATTTGTTAAATGACCAGCTTTTATACAGATGAATGTTCAGGCTTCTCCATTATATTCTATTTTAAGCTAGCCTTTAAGTGTTTTTTTGTTTAAACTGAGTAGATGGGTAAAGTTTGTGGTGACGATTTTTTTTTTCCTTCCCTTTGCTCATTTTAAGCCAGGGGTTGACTTTGAAAATTTTACAAACAAGTGCTTTTATTTCATGTTGGCATACTGCCTCAGACACATGAAAAAGTTCAGTGCTAGAACTGTGGGAGCTGTTGACCTTTGTAAACACAAGTTTCCGCTAGACCAGATAGGGTTAGGAAATGGACATCAAGGGAAGACTTGAGTTCAGGATGTGTATTTGAGCCTGTTTTTCATGTGAATAGTGATGTTTTCAGTGCCGCTTCACCAGGTTATTCTCTCAGAGACAAAGCAAGGGCATGGTGGGAGGAATTTCCAATTTATCTTGGTGTGTAAAATCTTCTCATTGCAGTCACCTAGGTTTTAACTTGCTTTCTTTTATGTTCTCCCACTGTCCGTGGACATACTGCTTTAAATTAGGATGAGGCTATGGAAGGAGATGTTCCCACTCCTTCAGAGAGGGAAATAGTGGTGTATTGGCTCTCATGCCCCTAGGTTATGATGTCCAGCTGAGAAGCCTGCTAGCTAGTCAAAAAATTACTCCCTTCAAGTTCAGAAGTAGGAAAAAGGTAAATGCCCTTTTTAGTAGAACTGTTAACTGAGAGCTAACCTTTTCTCATTTTTAGCTATGGTACTAGCTTCATGGTGAAGCGTAAACTTAATTAACAGAAAGGACAAACTAGCTGAGGGATGAGTAGTAATTTCTTCTGAAGATACTTTCTTCAGGTGGTGGAAGTAACTCCTGCCTCTGGGGTGGACTTGCATTTTCATTTAGGCTCTTACTTAAAACTTGTCAGACTCCGGCAAGGACATGCTCATTTAATTGTTTCGTTCGGGTATTGCTGTGTGGTGCCTGGAGATTGCTCATGTACTTGGGTCGCATCGGGAGTTTTTTCTAACTGGGTGTTTTACCTATCATAGCCAGTAACTGAGGCCTCGGGGCACAGTGCAGGGAGTATTGTAGAGCATTGCATTCTCTATTGATCTTTACTTTAATGCCTTGTTGCATCTTAATCCCTTACCAGATCCCAAGATCCCATGTTACAAGAATAATTTAATTGCAGCATTTCTCCTTAGAGGTTGGGAGTCCAACAAAGCTGTGAACCTTTGGTCACGTTTGGGGTTTTGTGGTTTTTTGGGGTTTGTTGTTTGGTTTTGTTTTTTGGGTTGTTTTTTTCACTCTATGCATTTATTAGCCAAGCTGGAAAACCTTGTTACAGACACCTGAGTAATATGTTGCTTGCTTTTTATGTGGTGTCAGAGGTCAATGTTTTTGTCATAGCTTGCCTTTCAGCCCCACAAACCTGGCTGTCTGGGAGAGACAATAAATCCTGGAATTTGCAGTTTTGTCACTTTTGTACCCAGGAGCACAAGATTTTAATAAACTTCCTTACTGCTAGCAAGTACTACTGTTTTTATAGATACTGGATCCTTTAGGCCTGCCTTCTCTTGACTTCTGTGATTGCAAGTGGATTTTATACTGACATTTGAGATAAAGGACAGTCTTCCTCTGATTCTTCTTATTTTCTTTTGTTCTGTATTAGAGAGGGTACACAGCAATGGTGCGCTATGCCAGCCTCACAGATTGTCTCCTCACTAAACAGTGCCAGCCCTTTCCGTTCTATGAAAATTGTGAATCTCAACTGCTTGCTGTCTTTCTAGACTCTTAATGTGTGCTGTATTATGTCTTTTTAAAACAGAGTATAATGTGACAAAATTATGTATATTTTCTTGGCCCAAAGTGGCCTAATGCCTTACTACGTTTATTTTCCTATCCCATTCCTTGTAAGTATGACATCTTGCTGGTTTTAAGACTTACTCAGTGGCATGTTGCAGATGTGTAGTTTACTACACACACTTATTTTCTTGCACATAAGCTTTGAGGGCATGTTGAGGGTTAGTGATGTCTGTGATTAAGATCCTGTGAGCTGCGAATCCACAAGCTCGTGATGTATTGCGATGAGTATGTTCACTCATGTGTGGTCCTAGTGAGCATCTTGTGCGTGCTTTTTGTATTGTAGCGGAAGTGAGTAATTAAACTGAGCTGCATTTCTTTGTACAAGCTGTTGGAAGCAGTGGTGAGAAAATAAAGTGGAAACTAATGGTGTACCATGCAGAATCTGTTGCACAGTTATTTCTGTGATGGTGAGCTGGCTACTTTTCTTCCAAAAAATGAGTTCAGAACTGGTCTCAGCTAGGTTTATGGATGTTCAAGAGAGTTATGAGCAATTACCTATCAAGGATATTTCTGACTACTACTTTTTAAAATTTTGATTATTTTTTTAACCCCAGGATCATAGGTTTGAATGAAAAATGTATTGTACCAAACTCTGTAAAAGAGTTTGCGTGCATTAGTATTGCAAAGAAAAAAGTGGGAGCTCTGGAGGAAAGAGGAAATAGATTTGATTTACAGTAGGAGAAATGAAAGTAGAACTGAAAGCCAGTTGTGCACACTGTGGCTCGATGCTAAACAAACACAGAACAAATAGCTGATAAGCCTGTGTTTTTTCATGCAGAGTAAACCAAGCCCCACAGAGCACATTGCTGCACGCAGTGTGTGGATACAGTCACCCTTATGTCTGGAGGCTTGATTGCATCTGTGTGCTAAGGTGTAACTAAAAAAGCTGGTCTTGGGTTACTTGCTTCAGGCAGAGTTGCAGTTGTGTTACTGCTATTTTTTTCTCCTGTAACACTTAAAATTTGAATCTTTAGATGTAACGTAATGCATGTGGTAACGGGCAGCCTTTCGGATTTACTTCCACTGCCTGCTTTTTGGTCTGTCTTTTCTTTGTTTATGGGAGTGCTTATGAGTTGTCTGTCTTACCCAATGGAGGTACTTCACGCTTGTAACCTCTGAGGAAGAATGATTCCCCAGCCTCAGCCAGTGAGTGAGAATAACAGCAGTCGACTGTAAACCTTCCAGAGTCTGTGGTCAAATGTGTTCTGCACACTTGCATAGGCACAGAGGATGATTTTCGCAGTACGCTCTTTGCGCCTGTGCTGTTATTCCTGTCCAAGCTCCATGCGCTGCACCACTCTGTCTGGCCGCAGACGTTCTGGGTGTCAGCTGCCGTCCTGCTACGTCGGACATTTATGCATGCAGGTGGATGCTTGTGCTAGAACAGCTTCATTAGGCATGCAATTAATGAAATTAATGCATTGCTCCAACATTCGTCATAGGCAAAGTGGGTATAGCAGATTTGCATAGTCATTTGTTTCGAAGTTCAGTTGGTAACATGGACTCTGAGGTATGACTTGCTGTGATTTGTGATTGAAGCTGCTTGCTGTAATTCTGTACAGAAGCAGAATCTTATATGAAGTTTATTCTAAAAAAACTCTGGCCTGAGGAAGGACAGTTCTGCATGAAAGCACAGGATTTCAAGAACTTGCTTTTTTTTCTCCTCTCTGGTTACAAAAAGGTGATTGTTTGAGACATCAGTTCTTTCTGAGTGGTCAGCTTTACAAAAATTGCCAAGGCAGGTTTTGGTAGCAAGCGAGACTTTCTTCTCTTTCCAACACAGAGTTGCGAGTTAGTGATATCCTCTGATTTTCCATGAAGACTTAAATCTCTTCCATTGTTGATGAAGTAATAGTATTATGGAATTATCTTGCTGTAGCACTTCTGATTGACAAGTCTTATTCTAGGCTGTTGTCAAAAAAAGCCTACTGCCAACGTACCACCCAACACTTTCTTTTCAAATATACTTGACCACAAGTTAATTACAACTTTCTCTATTGGCTGATGAATACTAGGGTGCTTGCATGAGGTTTGTTTTGCTTTGAGATACCTAAAGCAGGAGATGGACCGTAGAACCTGATTGTTCTAGATAGCATGATTTAACGTTTGTGTTCAGGGCCCATTTGCTGTAGTGCTAATAGCCACGTTGTCCTGTTGTCCTTTTTCAATACATGCCCTGAAACATTTAGGCAAACAGTTGAGACTTGACTGTTTTGGTGTCCAGCTGATTTGCCTCTAAACAAAGTTTTGAGGATGTTGCTGCATCGGGAATTATTCTGAAAGGTCTCTAAAGAATTTTCACTACTGTTCTTCAACTGCAAGAGGAAATTGCACTCTCTCCAACTTCATGAGAACCTAATTGCCATTTCCTTCGGAAGAACATCTGTAGGGCTGTGAATGAGCAAGCTGTAACAAAACAAACAACTTTTATGATATTCCTCTGCCTTCCTGGTTCCTCATGTTCGGTTTCTATTGCAAAGCCCTACCTAGCCTTTCTTCATTTTGATATACCTCAAAGAAAACAACCCTTTTGAGCCTGCTGCCTATTAATAAAGCAGCCGAATTGGGTTATCTAGCTTGCAACAGAGGTATTCTCATAAAGGATCTGGTGGGTTTTCCCCTATTAGAAATAGAGGGAGAGCCACTGTGCCCTTGATTATTTGAGTCTCTGAACTGAAAGAAAAAAAAAAAAGGGGGGAAATATGAATTGGGGGAGGAGTTAAATCTTTCTCCCACTCCCTTACACTTGGTTTAAAACCTGCCAGCCCCTCTGAGTAATTAATCAATCATATAAACATTGACCCTAGTTTTTGGACAGCAAAAGTATTAAATGCTTAGTTTAAAAAGTAAAAACAAAATCCCATACCCCACCACAGAAGGACATCTGTTTCTAACTTCAGCTTTTTATTTTTTTATCTTTCATTTTTTTTTGTTGGTAAATCTCCCAGACAACAGCAGTTCTGTAGAGAGTTTAAATATGAAGGAATGGCAGGACGGGCTAAGGGCACTTCTACCGAACATTAACATCAACTTTGGTGGACTGCCCAATGCTTCTTCCCCCTCCAACGCCAACCACAGTGTACCAACGTCCAACACTGCCACCACCGACAGCCTGAATTGGGACAGCCCTGGCAGCTGGATGGACCCCGCAATCATCACAGGTAACCGTTTCTCACTCCTTCGGCTCCGATGGCAAACCATCAAATGGGTATTTGGCACAAACTGATTTACATCTGGAAAAAAGAAAAAAGGCAGTATGCGGTGGTCTCTTCCAGCTTCCATCCACAAAACCTCAAGGGTCCAGGAATTTTTATGGAACTGCTAGGTATAACGAAGTGTCACTTTAGGCCTTTGCAATGCATGCCCAGGACCTTTGCAGGCAGTCAGGCGGATCAGTGCTTATCTGTAGGGTCAACGTAGGTGTCCCTTCTGCTGGATGGCATGTCCGGTATGTGCGCCGCCGGTCCTGAGGCACTGAAGGCATTCGCTGGACTTTGTTATTTAAAAAGGGACGTACTCCACTTGTTTATAAAGCTCTCTTTTATAAGGCTGTCTGGTTGTGTTTCCCTGTCAGAGAGGCTGAAGCATGATTCAAGCAGGCAGAGTAGGTGGTGAAGCATGCAGTGTACTGGTGGTTTGGTGTGGTGAGGTCACGTCAACAGGGATGCAGTCCTTGCGCAGGATGTTTGATAGAACAATGTGTGTTTTATGAAGTGCTCTGAGGGGGAACTTTCTGCTGTCTGGATTTTAATGTTAAGTGTTTTGCGGGCAGGGTAATTATATATAATAATGTAAATTGCACTCTCTGTACAAACTAATCATGTTTTCTCACTGTTGCTCTTTGTTAGGTTAAATTGACCTCCTTCGTGCTCAGCTTATTGCTTCTGCTCTGACTTGCCTGTATCCCTGTTTTTTTTTTTCTTCTCTTCATAGGTATCCCAGCCTCCACAGGAAACAGTTTAGACACCCTTCAAGATGACAATCCTCCACATTGGCTAAAATCTCTTCAGGCCCTCACAGAGGTGGACGGCCCCAGTGCAGCGCCATCACAGACGCACCACAGTAACCCCTTCGGCACACAGATCCCTCTGCACAGAGCCAGTTGGAATCCCTACTCTCCTCCTTCAAACCCCACCAGCTTCCATTCCCCACCTCCAGGCTTTCAGACAGCCTTCAGACCCCCCAGTAAAACCCCCACAGATCTACTACAGAGCTCAGCGCTGGATCGTCATTAGGAAAGGAGGAAAAAGAAAAAAAGAAAAATAAAACCCAAAACGTTAGAAATGCAGGAAGTGTCCCACCCTGACTCCTCCCCATGCCCACCTACTGTTCCCCATCATATCTTTCTTTCTGAAGAATCCAGTTCCTGATCAAACCTCCCCCCCAAATGCAATGCCATCACAGGGTCATGACCATATCTTTTCGTTAAGTTTTTGCTGAGCCAGTGTTTGAAATACACTGTTTGAAATATTTTCTAACCATTCTAAGGAAAAAAAGAGAGAGAGAGAAATCAAAATCAAAATGCAGTCTCAATGCTTAAGGAGAATATTACTGTCTTACGTCTTTTGCACATGAGTATTTCTGCCTAGTGGAAAAGTGTCAAATCTACAGTAGGGGAAAAAATGCGATGCAGAATCAAATGCAGAAACATGAAAAAGGTATTTAATTTAAATGAAGTTACTGAACATGTGGGGCAAGCAGTGGCCTAGCATTTATTTTGCATTCAGTGTGGCACTACACAGAGAAATTGCTATGTTTTTTTTCGAGAAGGGGATTTTATTGTGTCAGAGTTTGACATGAAGTGTGTTGAAAGACAAAACAGTTATAGCTATGAGTAACTGGCATGTTGCTAAAGAGTGGTTTAAAGAGGGGAGAATAAGATTTTTCTTTAATTTTGGCTTTAGATTTAAAGTAAACCTTAATGTTTTAAAAGTATTCACAGATTTAATACCTAGCCTATACGTAATATAATTATAAGCAGCTGAAACACGAGTGATATTTACTTCAGTCTTTGTCTCCTCTGTCAGTCTCTCTTTCTTTTTTTTAAAAAAACAAAGATTCACCTAATTAGGGCACTCTGGGATAGCACTGCATTGGGGCCACATGATCACCATCAGGAGCAACCTCTGACCTCCTCTGCCTGCAGCTTTTACTTAACCCTGTAGTTTCTGGACGTTTGTGCAGTATTGAAAAGACAGGAAAAAAGAAACAGATAAATAAACATGGTTATAACCTGATGCTAAAACTAAAACCAAGGAAATGTACCTCTTTCTTCAGAATTAAAACTAAAATCTTAAATAAAACAGAAAACTTGATGATGACTTCGTGATGCTTTTAGTTTTTTTTTTTAAACCTGGATTTTTAATTACTACATCTGGTAAAACTGTATATCGTTGCATGTTTTTCTTTTTCCTGTTCATCTAAACTGGAGCTATGTTTTCGTGGAAATATTGCTTTGCACAGTGACCTCTGTGTTGAAGGGTGGAAAAAGCATACACAACATTTTTAAAGGGATTCTGTTGTCTTTTCTCGTGGCAACAGCTAGAGGCTGAGTGTCTGTAGCCTTTATTGGTGGTATCTTTTTAAATCTGAAGCATGAAAAACTTGTTTATATTTTCTGAATTAACTGCCATGGCACTGGGAACAGATAGCATGCAATAATGTGTCTGAAAGTGTGGCCGAGAATTCTAGTTAAAACTCCGTTTCCATCAGCATCCTCGCTTAAAGCTGTAAAACGTTGTCACTGCACAACAGGGGATGAAGAGCTCTTAAGGCACAGAAGGTCTCCAAAAAGCTCTTAGACTTCCAGCCAGAGAGATTTAAAACCAGCAACCTTGTGATTGGGATGCTGGATTGACAGAGCTCATGAGGATGGCAGGGAGCCTCAAATCCTAGAGGTGCCTGTGCGGAAGGATTTCTCGCCTGGTGTGAGCCATATGGTTGAGGCTGGCTGCCCTCCGAAGGTGTTTGCTGCTGGCAGGGGAAGGAATTCACACCGCTGGACTGTGGGCACCTAACCCCTGTTGCGGGGAGAGGGCGGGGAGGCCTCTCTTTGTCCAGGGAGTGGGAGCAAGTCCTGAAACGATTGCTGGACGGGGGAACCAGGCATTGAATCTACATAAAGCGGCTCTAAGTATCCTGCTTTGTAACACGGCGGTTGCCTGCTTTTGCCCTTCTCCTCCCTGCGTGGCGGCTTAGTGCTGTATTTACCGTCTGCGCTACGGAACCGCGGGTACCGCTTCTGGACGGGCATCGTTGCTGCAGATCAGGCGTGTGCCGTGGGTACTTGGGAGAACGGGAGGATGTGCGCACCCTTTGGTGCCTCCCTGCAAAGCAAGCGATGTTTTTTTGTCACCCGCTCAGCCCCTGCTCAGACCCCTGCTGTAACTGCTGGTGGTGGAAGGAGAAGCACTGCCCGCTGGGACTGCAGGCTGGGAACGTCCCCTCCTGCGGCAGTGCCTGCTGCTGCCCCTGGCGCTGGGGATGCAACCCAGCAGGAACAGTCTGTTGGAGGTGCTGGTGAAGATGGGCGTTGTTGTTGTTGTTGTCTCTCCTTCCCCGTTTTTGCGACAGACTTTTTTTTGATCTTTAAGGCTTCTCTTTTAGAAGGGTGCCCTTCCTGACCCTAAAAATAAGCAAGCCTCCAAAAGCAGCTGTAACTGGTTCTTCCTGTGTACCACAGCAATACCTGAACCTGCTGCCGCCTTCGATTCTTGATTTGTCTCTTTGTCGCGGTTTAGGCTGTGCTGAGGGAAACCTGTGCCCGTGGTCTGCTACCACTAGGGAACAGGCTGCGTCCGCTCCTGAGTGCTCTTAGTCCGTGCTGCCATACAACAGCTTGTGCGGTTGGCCTACGGACAAACTCTTAGCCTTCAGGAAAAAGTTTGCAAGTAGAACGATTGTTCTCTTCATAGTGCTCCACACCGTCCCAAAAGATTTCTTGATGGGAAACGTTGGTGGTGTTACATTAAAATATATTGGTGTTCAGGCTGATGTGTGGGGGTGCAGCTTCAGCCTCTTTTATCTGCTGTCTGATGCGGATTCCTGCATCCCCGGAGTTGGGAAGCAACCTGGCATTTTGCTCTGTTCAACCTTGTGGAGCTCAGTTAGTTTCTCCTGAGGTTTTTCTTGTTGATGTGACAAGAAATTCTGTACAGGAACCTTTATCGAAAGGAGAGCATCCATGTGTCTGTTTTGTCCATGTGATCATCTCAGTGCATGGTCTGTTGTTGTTTCATATATTGTACAGACACTTGCAGCTCTTCCTTGCATCATGTGAAGAACAGTGCTTGACTAGAAGGCTGGTGACGCAGGACTAGCAACGCATTTGGTAGATGGCGCCTGATGGAGATGAAATTGCAGAAGGAGGATGGACCAGACTCCTCCAAAATGGATATGCATGGGTGTAGAGGGAAGGAGCTGCTAGCTGTGAACGTGCTGGTACCAGAAGTTGTGTTGCACTTTCAAAGAATTCTCAGTTCAAGCGTAGTACTTTGAGGGTCAGTAGTGCTGGACTTAATATTAAGTGCTCCTGGCTGGTTTTTTTTTTCTTTAATAGGAGAATGATGTTTCTCTGAATTACAGCAAGGAGTCTAATGTCACCACCTTCTAGTTAAGGCGAAGAGCCATTGCATAAATTCCTTGATCCCTTCCTTTGATAACTTCCGTTTCCTACTTGCAAGTAAAGTGTGAGCAAGTACGTGCCCTTGTAAATGCAGTGTCTTGACAGGGCTGCTCTAACCATGCTTAAAGCACCATTGCCAATTTCCTTGGCAGTTTTTAATCATGAAAGTAAGTTTATATTGTAGTTCCTGAACTCCAAACTTTTGTTTTCCTTCCTCTTCGTAACAGACTGTTCAAAAAGGGTTTTTTCTGAGATGCTCGTTTAGTCATAGGCATTCAAGATGTTGGATTTTAGGGAAAATGCAGTGTGCTTGTGTTTTCTGGGAGGTGGTGATGGTGGCTTGATTTTGTTTGGGGTTTTTTTAGTGATGGTTTGGGGGTTTTTGGCTTTGTGGTTTTGTTCTGGTTTGGTTTGGGTTTTTTTACACGTTGGTAGAGCTTGCCGTGCTGCTGCGTGCATCTTTGGCTTGAACCACTTCTTTTTTTTTTTTTCTTTTGAGGGGAGAAGGGGTCATGCACCAATTTCCTCCCTCACCCTTGCAAGGGAGCTTAGAAGAATACACTTGAGGAGACTGTAGAATAGTTACCTGGGTGCTTCTTGTTCGTCCCTTTCCTCAGGGTGCATGGAAGTTGCCTGAAGTTGCAAAGGAGCTTAGGTTTGGTGCTGGTCTCCAGTGTATGTCAATCCACTGTGTGGCAGGTCCTGTATTGCCTGGGAATAATTCCCCCTGGGAAAACTATAGTGCTGGAATAAAAACTTACTGCTCAGAACTGAGGCGTGCCAAGAAGTGCTGAGAGGTGGCACAGTGCTCAAAGGGTTAGGGGACTGAAGTTGTCACGAGCCCTAGTTGAAGGGCTTGTGGGTACTCGTAACTTCTTGGGGGGAATGAACTCTTCTCCAGTCCAGCTGCCAGCGACATGAATTTTTAGCACACACAGAGCAAATAACATGAAGTGCTATTTGATATGAATCCATGCGTTGAGTAGTTGTTGCTTTACGTCTTCCAGCAGTGTGTGGCTACATGACTGGCTATAGAAGTGCTTTCCACTTCACTACTTTATTATTATCATCTGTTCGAGCTGAATATGGATGTAGCAACTGTAAGAACTTGCGCTCCTTCCTCTTTGTCCGAATCCCAAGATCTCTTTTTTCCCTACTTTGAGACGTTCCACTGAGGGGAAACAGCTCTCAGATCCTCTTCTGTTTATGGCTGTGACTGTAAACAAAGCTCCTAAAGAGGAAAAAGGTGAAATATCTTCGTAGCTTTGGGTTACAGCATAAGAAATGAGGTAGCCTCAGTATGCTCTGATCTACACATGAGAGCACTGTATGTGAGCAAGATCTTCATCTTCCCTTCTTTCTGGGCTTCGCCTGTGCCCTAGACTTCCTGCTGGTTCGTTTATGTGGCAAAGTGAAGGCTCCTCAGATGGAAATGGCCAAATGAAGTTCTTGGTGTACAAATACAGGGAGCTAAGCAACTTGCAGGGATGCAGGAGTCTGAACGGCTGTGTTATGGAGGCTTGAGGTGAGTTGGACGATCCTGTCAGCAACAGATTTGTTGCTGGCTTTGGTGAGAAGCACTGGTTTAGGGCGGTCTGATGCAGTGAGACAAGGTGTGGAAGTCATTTGAACAGAGGTGGTGTCACCATGGAGGAAAACAGTATAGAAAAGTCTAAGGTAGATGGGAGAGTGATCTGCCTGACCTGTGGTGATCAGGAGGAGCCCGTTTCCTGCAACACTGCCAAGACGGAGTCTTTCAGTGGGATAGAGTCATTGCACAGTTGCTGTTCTTTCTCCTGTGAAATCTTGCTAGGTTACTGTTTCTTCCTAGTCCTCAGGCTTACCAATTCCCTCCCCCAGTCCTCAGACTTA